AAAAGGAATGTATTCGATAAATTTTATCCATACCTATTACACTGAAAAGTTTGTAGAGCTTTTTAGCCTTTTCGATTCTCTTCTATAAAAGCACGTCAGAAATATTTGCAGGGAGCTGAATGCGAACTTCCTTATTTAAAATTTTACTAACTGTATTAGATTCAAGATCAACTTGTTTTTTTGATGTCAATTCACTATATCTTTGAATAAGAGCTTTATCAAAATTACAATAACAGAAGATTGCTTCTTGGGTTTTACAGTCAGTGAGAATTATAGCATTACAAAGTTTTTCATATAAAAATATGAAACTAATATTGCTGGGTTGAGATGATATGAAGCATCGAGTTTTTGACTTTTCTGTTTCATTTAGGGTTGTAGGTATTACATTATTGTTTGCATTGCTATTATTAATAGATGAGCTAGAGTTTTTAGAAACTTCTACTATGAATTTCTATACTTTGTTTTTATTATATTGTAAAATATCTTTATCATATGATAAAGGATCTTGAGATCCAAGCTTCTTTTCTTTATTTTTCTCTTTTATTATATTACTAACCCTTTTCTTTTCTTTTAGGTCTAGAAATTCATTGATTACTTTATCTTCTGAAGATTTGTTTCCTATACAAATTAGTGATGTGGAGCATTGACGTGAACCAATCTCCAGCTGAGTCTTTATCCCCTGACATATGTCAGAATTTGAAGTATCATCAGTTATATCAGATGCGGGAGTGTCTTTACATCATAAGTTTATCTGTTCACTATTATGATTTGTTTCAGGAGATACAGAAGAATCAGATGTTCGATACTCTATATCATCAGATGTGTTATCAGTATATCTATTACCCCTGTTTTGCAAGCTCTGCTCCTTGATTAGTAAGACATCATGTTTCAGTTTAGCGATAAAATCAGTTTTTTTGAGAGGTTGGTTTTTTTATTTTTGTTTTTTTCCTGGGTTTTAGATTTCGGGATTTTTTACAGGTTTTGCAAATTTTTTTGTGTTTTGAATTTTTAATAAATTTAATTTAAAATTGATAATTTAATTTAAAATTGATTGATTTAAGATTGATTAATTTAATTTAAAATTGATAGATTTAAGATTAATTAATTTTATTTAAGATTAATTAATTTAACTTAAGATTGATTAATTTTATTTAAGATTAATTAATTTAACTTAAGATTGATTAATTTAATTTAAAATCAATTAATTTAATTTAAGATTAATTACTTTTAAGTTAATTAAT